AAGTGAGCCAAAACATTAGCTACGAAATGGTCCAAAATGACTCCAAATTATTCTAAAATGACTTTGAATTTGAGTTAAAAAAAAAAAAATGTCCAAAGAGACTCAAAAGTCAATTAATTTGCTTAAAATTTGCTGAAAATGACTTGAAACATGACTCAGAACTTATCCCAAATGGCATAAATGTGTCTAAAATGACTCAACATGTGTCAAAATTGTTCAGAAATCTGCCAAAAAAATCATAAAACATGGTCCAAAAATCACTTAATTTGCCCTTTTATGGCAGCTATGTGGCCTGAGGTGAATCCAAGTACGAGTGAAATCAGTTTTATTGTATATCTTCACATATGTGCATGACAGAATGCATTTAAGTGCAACTGAGTTATTCAGTTTTGGCCTAATTTGGATCTTAAAGTTCTTTCCTGACACTGTGATGCTCCAACCACTGACATCTCCATCTGCTGATCCTGTGATGGGACAGGAAGCTACTTAATGGACCTTGTCGTCAGATTACTTTGTCAGCTTCTGCTGTGTTTAAGGTGATTTCTGCAAACGCTTCTAACTTCCTAAATCTTGCTGTCTGAGACGAACGGCCGGTTAAAGAGCGTCTGATCGAGCGGAGAGGAGGAGTTTCTGCACTGAATGAACTCTTGTTGCACTGCAGCGGTGAAAATACACCGACAGGGCTTAAAAACACTCCTGGACACACTTCAAACGTCAGAAATTCAAACGTTTTAACCGCAAAAAGCAACACGTCTCTGTGCAGACTCCAGATGAACTTATTTTCGCCTGAAAGCGTCTCTGTTCTGCGCGTATTTCCTGCGTAATTCAAATATTTGCGGAATCGCAGAAGAACACCTGAATTAGTCTCCACATGGCTCCGCTTTTGACCTGAAATCTGACGTGATCACATGATCTGAACGTTCATTCATGCTCCTGCTCTGACTCCCCCCTTCTGCCCGCCTGATTCACGTTTTTTTTCCCTCTCCATCAGATGGAAGTTTCTGTGAGGATCGTGCGCGCAGCCGCTCCGTGCGCTCCAGTTGTTTCCTTTTTTTTTCCCCCTCACAGGAACGATGGAACCAGTCTGCTGTAAGTCGTTTGGATAGAAAGAGAATTTTTTAAAATTATTATTAATCAGGAGGAGAACATCTACTGGAGGTTTTGCGGGTGTTTGTTTGAATGTTTGCAGGTAGGAACGTTTTGGAATTCTTGCATGTCTTCGCCAAATGGCACTTTTGGGTAAATTACGCACGGGGGGAAAACTGAAAGAACAGAAATGCTTACATTCTCAGAATAATAATCCATATTTTCTTTTTCCTAGTAATACGATTTCTGTCGGTTTTCAGACAATTTGTTCAAGATGCATGTTTTTATTAAGCAGACTTATAATGAAATCGGGACATGATGAAGCGGAAAAATGCGCTCTGTGCAGTTTAAAGACAGCTAACGTGAGGAGTTGAATGTTTTAATAATTATATTATTATTTTTTGTTTTTACATTTTGCAGTTGCAGACACACTTTGCAGTAAAAATATTGCAGACACTTTGCTGCTCACTTCTTTAATGCTCATAAGTTAAGACTGTGCGCCATCTGCTGGCTGTTTGTTTCTCTGCTGTTATTTCTGAAGGAAACTCGCAACAGACTTTACTTTGATGCTAGTTTAAATTTTGATATGAAAATGCAATTCCATCAAAGCAGCGGCTTGTTATTAGAGTAAATATCCACTATTTTTTACATACTTGTGCAGGCATTTTGTAACCATACTGAAATGAAGATAATTTGTCATTTCATTTCCAAATCGTTAATCTGCTGTTCAGTGAACAATATTCAAATACAATAAGTCTTTTGCATTTATATGCTATTACTCTTCTTTAAAGCTCCCGTATTGTGAATATTTACAGCGAATTACATCAAGCCCCATGTGTCCTCGTAGTGATTCTTTCAGTTTTTCAGCTCAAAATACTGCAAAGATCATTAATTTCACCATTTTCTAAATGGGATGTTCTTGGTAACCATTGAGCTGCTGCTGCTTTCAGGAAAAACTAGCTGTCGATCACAATCTGAGTTGGACAAATGTTGATTAATCACATATTGCAGAGCACCAGGGTTAAGTTCTTACTGGCCTGTAACGCTGAGAGCTCTTCATATCTTCACAGCTTTTTATTTTTAGAGTTTTTGACAACCACAAAACACAACTGAATGCACAATTTTACCATGTGGGACCTTTAAAGTTAAAATTGAAATGAAAAGTCAGTTGGAAAATCTCCAAACAGACTCCTGCACACTGTCTAGCCTGCAAAAATACATTTATTTGGTACATTTTGGTGCGAGCTTTGCGATGCCCTTGTCCATCTCCTGGGCACATGCTCCTTTAAGTGGAAGTGGAAGTTCCTAAATCCTAAATCTCTGAAATTGAATTGACTCCAAAATTGTCTAAGATGACTTCAAAATTGTCTAATTTGAATTATAATGTTTCCAAAACAGGTTAAATATGGTCCAAAATGACTCCCAAATATTCCAAATCAAATTTACTCAAAATTTGTCCAAAATGACTCCAAAGTGTCCAAAATTACTCACAATTTGTTTCTAAATAAGTCAAACTCATCCTAAAATGACCTGGAAAAGTGCATGAACTGGCCTTTCAAACACATTTTTCAAATTTTAAGATAATCTTGAGTAGTACTGGACTATTTCTGACTCATTTTGGTGATATTTTAAGTCAATTTGACAACTTTGAAGTAATTTTTGACCAATTTTGAGTCATTTAAGAGTTCCTTCTTAAAAACTCGTAAAGGGTGTCCAATAGCTAGCACCGAAACACTGCTGATTAATGTGCAGGAGTCTGTTTGGAGTTTTTCAAATTGTTGGAAAACTATTATTTTCATTTTGGTTTTAAAGGTTTTAAAAATGGGGAAACTTGATTTTCATTCGGTTTTGGGTTGTTATAAACCGAAAATACTCCTGCACAGTCTAACCTACGAGACATAACGCTCTCAAAGACCTGAATCATGGTAATATTTTCTTTCTCTTTGCAGTGAAATGGGCCTCGGACGCCTTATTCGAGTGCTGCTCTGCGCGGCTGCTCTCACAGTTTCTGCGGTTTTTGGCCAGAATGCGAGCAGCGAAGCGAACAGGTGGAGCAGACAGAAACTTCCGGAGCTGCAGGTTAAACACATGTCGCTTTTAAACGCTCCTCAGTTCAGAGGACAGCAGGAAAACGGAGATAACGGAGGGACGACGACGCTTTGTGGAATCGAGTGTCAGAGCAGCCTGCCGCCGATGGACCTCGCCGAGCAGGAGAGGATTCTGGGATATGAGACGATGTACGAAAACGGCACTCGGACACACTCAGACGTCAGCCTGCAGGCGTTCAACAAGACGTCCACGCATCCGCCTGCAGGCCGAACCCGCAGCAGGCGGCAGGTTTATGGTGCAGACGGACGCTTCGTGATCTCGGACTCCCACTTCGTCACCAACTACCCGTTCTCCACCGCCGTCCGACTCTCCACCGGCTGCTCTGGAGTCCTCGTATCCCCGAAACACGTTTTAACGGCTGCGCATTGCATCCATGATGGCAGGGACTACCTGGATGGCGCCCGGAGGCTGAGAGTCGGAGTGTTGCAGCTGAAGACGAAGGGACGGAGGCCGGGCGGGCGGAGAGGAGGAAGGCGAAGGGCTGGGAGGAGGAAGAAGGAGAACGGAGAGGAGCAGCTGATGGAGGAAGGCGACGAGCAGAACAGTATAGACGGAGATGTGGCGAGGAAGGGAGGTGGAAGACGCAGAGGACGGAAAGGCGAGGGCGGAGGGAAGAGCCCTAATCGGATACGACGCAGCGCTGAACTCAAGAAGCTGCCGGTGTTTCGATGGACTCGAGTTAAAAAGCTGCAAATCCCTCAAGGATGGATCCGCGATAAGAGCTCCTCCGTCTCCCCCGACTACGACTACGCCGTGCTGGAGCTGAAGAGACCCGTCAAGCAAAAGCACATGGAGCTCGGCGTGGCACCGCCGGCGACTCCTCTGGCCCGGATCCACTTCTCGGGCTTCGACAGCGACAAGAGCCTGCAGGACGGTGGCGGAAAGGAGAAGGTGATCTACCGCTTCTGCTCAGTGGCGAAGGAGTCCGACGACCTGATGTACCAGCACTGCGACGCCCAGCGAGGAGCGACGGGCGCCGGCGTTTACGTTCGCCTGAAGCGGGAAGGAGGAACCAGGAAGGGGAAGTGGCAGCGGAGGGTGATCGGGGTGTTTTCGGGGCATCGGTGGGTGGAGGTGGAAGGGGGCGAGCAGAGGGACTTTAACGTCGCGGTGAGGATCACGCCGGCTAAATACGTCCAGATCTGCCACTGGATCCGCGGAGATCCGAGTCTGTGCAAAGAGGTTTGAACTGACAGAGCAAAGGATCCACAAGAGATAAAGATCTGCTCTAAGAGACTCAAAAACCAGCTCTGCTTCCAAGGAGTGGTCATAGGAACAGTTCAAACTCTTCAGATTCCTGTAAAAATAGGACTTAGAAGCTTTGTATGATAAGCAATCATCATTCATCAAACACTGAATCAGCCAATAGTTTGTCTCGCTATTCAGCATTATATACAGTCATGAACAAAAGTTTCCATCCGCCTGTAAAGACCATGTATGTCTTAGTAAGTATAAAGTTCATGGTCCAGTTGTGTTACTGCCACCATCAGGAAGGAAACACAAACTAGCAGCTGCTGCTGAGAGACGACTGGTCAGGATGGTCAAGAGTCAACCAGGAACCAGCAGGAAGCAGCTCTGGATGGACCAGAAGCTGCTGGAACACAGCTGTCAGTGTCCACAGGGTCTGACATCAACATGAGCTGAGAGGCTGATGGAGAAGGAAGTTCTTCCTCCAGAAGCAGAACCTTAAAGCTCCACTGAAGTCTGCTGCTGGTCACATGGACAAAGAAAAGGCCTTCTGGAGGAAAGTTCTGGTCAGATGGAACAAACACTGTCTGGAGGAGAGAAGTTGAGGCCTTTAACCCCAAGAACACCAAACCTACCATCAAGCATGGAGGTGACAGCATCATGCTCTGGTTCTGTTCTGCTGCCAGTGGACCTGGAGCTTTACACAAAGTCAGTGGAACAATGAAGAAGGAGGATTAAAACCTCAAACCATCAGCAGAAGGTTGATCTTGGACACAGTTGGATGTTCCAACCAGACAATGAGCCCAAACACACATCAAAGTGGTGAAGAAATGGTTCCATCAGGCTGGAATGAAGGTTCTAGACTGGTCTCCCCAAAGTCCTGACTGGAACCATCCAGAACCTGTGGACTGATGAAGAAACAAGTCTGAGTCAGAAAGACGACAAGTTTAGTTGAACTGCAGCGATTCTGTCCAGAGGAGTCAGAGATGGACCAGAAGCTGGTGGACGGAACCAGAAGAACCTGGTTGAAGTGAAAATAGTCAAGGGACGATTATGGTCCAGTAGATTTTGTCATATTTCCAAAAGACCTTTAATGAATCTATGAAAGAAACAAAATACAGGATTGTTTTTGGGACAAAGATTCATGTTTTGATGGTTCCATCACAGAAAACTCAGTTCTGGGAGTCACTGGAGACTCGAGACTGTCCTGATAAACGTGGTCTTCACAGGTGTGTGGAAACTTCTGTTCATGACTGTGTGCTTCAGAACATCTCAGCGTGCAAGAAAAAAGTTTGACCGAGATGTTTCCTTCTGTACCTTTTCTCTTAAAATTAACAGTTCTTAAATGGTTCTTTAAAGCACCAACGCCAGCTTCTTTACTCGGCTTCTTCACGAACCACCACAACGACCAAAGGTGCTTCGGTTTTACTGGAGTTACTTGGGGGCATGAAATTAGAGCCGCGAGTAACTGTTTTCATTTTCATTTCATCTGCAGATTGTTTTCTCAGTTAATCATCAGAAAAAAAGTGAGAAATTGCAGTTTTACAGAAGTTAGCATCGAGCTCCATCTTGTTCCGTCTCAAAGTGTCGCGTTCCTTCACGGTTCATACCAAAGTGCTTTTAAACCAGTGTTTCTAGCTTTTACATGCATTTTAGTTTGGTTCAGCAACGCAATTTAAGGTTTTGGGGTTCTACGTTCTCCTACACAGCGACTGATTTTGTGTTTGTGTTCTCTGAAGTTCACATTTTTAACCCCTCGCTTGTCTGTAAGTAAACTGAGGTACAAGGAAACATGAATAAGCAGCCGACAAGTTGTTTTTTTTCAACCTGCACAGAATAATTAGATCTAAAAGGAACTCCCACATTCCTTAAACAGTATCTTAAAATAGTTCCTTAATGAAGCTATTTTTGCTTTTTGCTTTTTGCTCTCTGATGTACCTTTGGGGGTTCTTTAGAAAGAAAAAAACACTCTTGCTTAAAGATTCTCTGTGGAGCTAAAAATGGTTCCTCTGTGGGATCACAGCAAGGAACCGTTTTAGAACCTGTTTTTCCACCCTTTGCCACCATTTTAATTCCCAACTTGAAGCTCCTTAATAAAGAACCAACAGCAGGTGTTTCTTAACCTGCACAGAATGATTTGGTTTAAAAAGAACTCTGACAATCATTTATTTTGAAAAGTTGTTCCTCACAGTGCCGAGAGAAAATGTTTTTTTTGTTCCATGAGGCACTTTTTTTGCCTTCTTTTAAAAACTTTCTGCTAAAAGCACTTTTGTTTTTCCTCCGAGTGTTTCTGTATGTGCGCTTTTTTTTTTTTTTAAAACATTTTTTGGGGGGATATTACTCATAAAACTCTGAGTGAGATCATGAAAGATGTCCTGTTGTGTGATTCTTACTGTAAAATATCTGTACGTTATCACAATAAAACACGTCCTGACGAGATTATTCCACCGATTTATTAACCGCAACGCGACTTGGTCGACACCAGCTTGGTTCGGGTTTGTTATGCTCGGGGTTGCCAGTGTGGTCTCTGCCAAACCTGCAGTTCTACAAAAGACTCCATGCAGCCACAACCCAATGTGCAGAACTGCTATTCTGCAAAACACCTGATGTGCAAAAACAGTGGACTTGTCCTTTAAACGGTGCACCAGCAGCTTTTCTACAACATTAAAACCACCCGTCCAGTATTATGTGCCTTCAAAACAGCTCGGCTCTGTCCGACAGCTCCTACAGATCCTCAACCAGTTCAGGATCTGGGGAGTTTGGAGGCACCGTGGGGCTCTTTGTCGTGTTCCTCGAGCCAGTTCTGAGCACTCTTCCTGGTTGCATTTTGCACTTTATCCTCCTACGTGAAAGTTTCCGAGCAGAACTTTGCCTGTCAGCGGTCTTAAGGTTTTATCACGTTCTGTGTTTTGTTATTGTCGCCGTCAGTGATTCCATCCGACTACTGAAGGAGAATCACATTTAACCTCCAGTGTTTTGCCTCATTATCACGTTCATGTGGTGTTTTTTTATCATCAGGAAGATGCAGCATGAGTGAAAAAATCAGTCGGTGCCTTCAAACTGCAGACGACAAGCTGAGAAACACAGATTCTGACTCGCAGCGTTTTGTTGGTGAAGCTTTCTTTTACGTTCTTCTTCTCCAGAATCAGTTTAAAGAGAGTTTAAGGGGAGCTGGTGTGCTCGAGGGGCAGCGTGTGAAGAGTGCAGAGCTACAGCTTAGAGAATAATTATTTGTATGGAAAAACTTGTAAAAGTGGAATTTTAATGCACAGAGATGAGGTTTTAATCAGTTTAATGTTGGTGTTGGAACAGCTGCAGGCTTCATTAAAAAAAGTCATAAGGAGAGCAAAATTATGAAATATTTAAGAACAAAAGCAGATTTACAGAAGTCGAGCCGGTAATCCTGACTATTTATCAGTATTCATTGGCCCTCATGTCACATGTATGACATTTTTAGGGAAAATTACATCCTTTGTGCCATAATTTAATTAGCTATTGGCCCTTTTTTGGGTAATTTTCGCTGATAACAAATAAGGATTAGTAAGCCGAGCTGACAAAAGCAGAGCAGAGATACGAGGATCAGTGTATTTGTCTTTTATTGCATCTCATTTGGACTTACATGCAGGTGGGGTCGAGGGAGGGAGGACGATGCCATCCATAAAAACCCAAAAAAGAAAAGAAAAGAAAAGAAAAGAAACTCCAAAAGAAAAAAACAAAAAAGAACAACCACAGCCTTCATATGAATAAACATTATCTATCCACGTTCGTTTAGGTTTCATGTGTCACAGTCACCTTTATTTTTCGTTCAACACTTGCCACAATGGATTAAGATACAGTCACTGTTTGGAAATAAACGACACACAGAACATCCAGCCAATAACCACTAACGCTGCCTTTTCTCTTCGATTCCCGTCCCGAGGCGAAAACCAGGAAGGAGAGGAGCTCTTTGAGGAGGATAAATCCAGTTCCACTCCGCGCCAGCAGGGGGCGGCGACGTTTCCATTCTGCACCGCCTCTTTTTTTTTTTCCCACAGATTTAGAGGTATGTACAAAGAGCGGGTGGAGGGGGAAGGTTATTTCATCTACTTGCCTTTTTTTTTTGTTTTCAACCGTATAATTTAATGTAACTAAAAATATATGATGCATTTTATTCACTCAAAATAAAGAAAATAATCTATCGTTGAAAATAGTCTAAGATGCATATGTCAACTTGAGTTTTTTTGCATGTTTCATATAACATATGCTAACAAAAAAATAAATAAAGTATAAATGAACACACAACGATGATGATGATGATGATGGTGATGATGATGATAAGTCCAGATTTGCATTTGAATCCTGACAGGTGGGAGGATGGACGGCCAAGCAGATATAGGAACAACCAAGTCTTCAGTGACATTAAACATAGCTCAGTATTAGTTGGTGGGAGTGGGAGTGGGAGTGGGAGGGTTGGCCAGTGAAGTTACACCGAACACAGTCCACATTTAAACAACACAGTCCTCGTCTGGGAGATGCGCAAAGAAAAAAAAAACAAAAAAACGACATTTATCCGCCATCCCCAGTCAGCTGATACGCCGAAATCCAGAATGAATCTAAATACACATTTATTTATTTATCTGTTTTTGTTTTTTTTCCCCAGTAGTATATTAAGTAAAGGTTAACACTGAAGTACACGCACACCCACACACACCAATTCTGTTTTTGTTTTTTGTTTTTCTGTATCTAGGGGTTCACATTCACAGTTGTGCTACGACATTAGATAAGGACGGGTTTAATTCTTTTCACGGCTGAGGGAGGGAGGAGGTTCGCGGAGAGATGACGGGCTGGTTGGCTGAAGGGGGGGAGGCGGGGAGGGCAGGAAGTGCAGACATCCACATCCACAGAGCTCCAGACACAAATGACAAACCTGCAGAGAGCAGCAGAGCGAGTGGTCAGAAATACTCGATTACAATAAAAGTCCTGCGTGAAGGAAAAGTCAGAGCGATAGGAGCTGATCAGAGATGAGAAATCCTGTAAATAATCAATAAATAATGTGCTGTGAAATGCTAAATGACAGCGTTACAGCGGTGGAGGAGGAAGGCAGAAGTAAAAGTAAAAATACTCGATTACAAGCATGAACGCTCCTACTACAGTAAGAGTACACAGCAGCAAAATGTAGTTAAAGCGCTGAGTAATTGGTCCCTTTGAATGATATATGAGTATGTATATAATTATTATTAGGGTTTTTTTTAAATAAAGAAATATAAATAGAAAAATTAAGATTTTTTAAAAAATTTCTCAATTTTTCTGTTTTCCTTCACTAATTTTTCAATTTATATTTTTTATTTCTTTATCTATTTATATTTCTTTATAGCAATTATATACGTGTGTGTGTCTATATAATTATATTAGTGTTTTTTAAAATAAAGAAATATAAATAGAAAAATTAAGAATTTTTTTTTAATTTCAAAATTAAGAAAAATGTGTACGAAAGTGTTAAAAAAATTAAATGAATTTAAAAAAAAAAAAAACACTAAAAAAAAAAAAACAACAACAAATATCAAAGTATATTTTTTAGTTTTATAAAGAAAAACAAAATCTTAAAAAATATATCTGAAATATGAGCCCAGCAAAATAACAGACTGAGTGAAATTTAAATATATATATATCTCAAAATATTAAATAAAATTTTTACAAAACACAGGTGAGAAATATAAAATATAATCAAAATAAATTTAAAAGAATGTATAAAAATGTAAATATTAAAAATATATTTAATAAATGTATTTTAAAAAATAAAGAAATTAGGTTAAAAGTGTCTGATTTTTTTTATTATTATTATTTTAACCTACAGATGTCAACACCTTTGTATAATTTAATATAATTTTATTTGTGTGTGTGCTCTTTGGAAGGACACACAAAGCTCTAAACTGTAAATATCTGTTGTGTTTTACTAGATCGTTCTATTATCACGTGTTAAATCTGAATCTCAGATAACTTGTGTGAGACGAAGGGACACTGTGGGATGTAGTAGAGTGGACGGATCAGCAGCAGAACGTAGAAGTGAATTGTTTGTACCTTGGGGGGTTTATGGGTCCATCAGTCTACATGAAGTCCTTAATGTTGAGGTCGTCCAGAGCGTTCCTGGGCGGGGGAGGCTTTCTAGGGCTCTGGGCCACTCCAGGAGACATCTGTAGACACAAACCACAGCAGAACTCCTCGTCAGAGCCGCCCTAAGCTTCATGCGTGAGCTCACTGTGAGTGTTTAATGGTGCGGGACGTTACCGGCGCTCCGGGAGTCGCTCCGGCGGCTGGGAAGCCTGGCCTCGCCATCGGCATCATGGGAGCTCCGGCGCCTGGTGCCCCGGCCTTAAACATGGACAGACGGACGGAAAACACACAGTGAGACACGATATCTGCGGCGTGGGGGGAGCGTGAGCGCCACCTAAAGGGGAGATGGTCCATTGAATAGCCAGTGAAGCCCAGACTGGACTTGAGTGGCTATGGGACTGGTGGTCTTACCATGGCGAAGCTGGGGAGGGCCCCCATAAAAGGACCCATGGGTGAGGTCTACAGGGGGGAGGGGATGGAGAGGAGGAGGTGGGATGTTACTACACTACATATAAGACACCACAGAGACGCTGCAACACAAACACACACAAACACACAAACACGATGCAGACGCACAACAACAGCCGAGACACGACAAAGCTAAAGGTCAGCTGGAGGCTAACTGCTGTCAGACATGCAGGAGGTTCAGAGGAAGCTGGAAGCCGTCAGATGGAGGTTAGATCTGCCACAAACAACTCAAATCTCCAGGAGGAAGAAGCTATGAGGGCAGAGTCCTGGACCAGAACGTGGAAAGGAAAGAGAAGAAGAAGCTGTTTTCCAAGCAGCAGCTTCTGAACGAGGCCGATCATCGTCGTCTTCATCGCTCTCCAGGAGAAACAGGCAGAGTCCAGACTGAACCTGAAGCTACCTGAACGTCAGCGTCTCACACAGACTGATGTTCTCTTTCTGCTTTTACTGTTTGTTTGTTTTAAACTATAATATATGTTTTAAACTATTGCTATTTATCAGATTTTTCCTTTTTGGTTCAATTACAGATAAAAACGAGTCAAATAAATTTTAAAAAATGCATTAATTTAGATATTAACTGTAAATTAAAAAAAGAAAAAAGGCCACAACTGTAATTATTTTAGACATTTGCAGTTATGTGAAATAATTTCAATATATGTTAAAGACTAAAAAATTGTAATAATAATTTTTAAACTGCTTTTAAATAATATATATATTATTTTTTATTAATTTATTTATTTTTAACAATTTAGTGTTATTTTATTTTTTGGTTTAATTACAAATAAAAAGTAGAAATAAAATATAATAGATAGAATGTATTAATTTATATATTAATGGCAAAAAAATTTCAAATTAAAAACAGGCCACAACTGTGATTATTTTAGATATTTGCAGTTGAAGTTAAAGTTAAAGGAAATAAATTATTTTAAACTGTTATTTTACAGATTTGCCTGTTTGGTAGATTCACGTTTAAAATATATATAAATAAATACGTCCACATTAAAAATCTGCACTTTTATAAATGCC